CCCTTTCATGGGGTTCTGGGGATCTGGGGAGCCAGGCCGTGGATGATGTCATGTCGGGTGACCCCTTTCTCGTGGTTTTGGAGACCCGGGGAGCCAGTCCATGGGGGATCCATGTCGGATGACCCTTTTGTCGAGGTTCTAGGGATCCGGGAGCCAACCTGTGAGGGATGCAGTAGTGGCGGGTCTGCATAGCGAGATCGTGAGGCGTCCGATTTTTGGGTACCTCTTCCAAGGGGGGCCCCCGGAAGAGCTGATTGTATCAGGGGGATCTGGAGAGCAGCCCCTGACGGATCGAGTGTCGGGGCAGCCCCTTCCGGGGAGAGGTTTATGTCTAGTTAGGGAGGATGTCTTTGCTGGGGATTCTTGGTTTAGAGAGGCCTCTTGCGGGGAGGAGTTCGGGAGGTCTCTAGGATCCAGGTCTCCTCCCATTATGTCCCTGGAAGGCTCCTTGCTAATTGCGTTAGTTTCTAAGAGACGTTCATGGTCGTCAGTGAATTTCTAGATTCTGCCTTGGGTGAGCCGATCCCCCCAACCGCGCGCCCTGCCCTCGTCCCCTTGCCCCTGAGAAATGGGACTAAGAGGTGAGTTGAGGTCTTGGAGATGGCTGTTTGTACCCCCGCTTGTCTTCCTGAGCACAGTAGTGAATGTTGGGTTCCTTGAGGGAATATTTAATACTGTTGTTGTTGGGTGCCATCAAGTTGATGTTCTACTCATAGCGACCCCGCATGACAGAGTAGAACTGCTCCATCAGGTTTCCTAGGCTGTAATATTTATGGAGCTACTAGTGGGTTCGAACAGCCAACCTTTCAGTTAGCAGCTGAGTGCTTAACCATTGCGCCACCAGCTGTGTTTTATTAACTGTGTACTAGGTACGAGGCATCCTGCTAGGCGCTCTATGAGCATCATTTCATTAACAGCAAGTCTGTGAGGTCCCCGTGCTCCTTATACCCATTTTACAGGTGAGAAACTGTGTCTCAGGTGCGTAGTACTGTGCCTAGCACACAGTAGGTGTTCCATCAATTCATCAGACATTTACTGAGTGCCTACCACGGTGATGCAAGTGGTGAACACGCTCAGCTGCTAACCGAAAGGCTGGAGGTTCAAGTCCACCAAGAGGTACCTCAGAAGAAAGGCCTGGAATCTGCTTTTGAAAAATCAGCCACTGAAAACCCTATGGAGCACAGTTCTACCCTGACTCGCACGGGGTTGCCATGAATCGGAGTCAGCTCAACGGCAACAGTTTTTTTTTTTTTTTTGGCACAGTGACAGACACTGCTAGGTCTTAGGGACCTGGGGACACAGCAGCGAACAAAATAGTATATACGTTTGTGTAAAAAATTCTGTCCTCAGGGAGCTTACTTTGCAGTGGGAGGAGACAGATAATGAATAGACCAGTAAAATACCCAGGAGGTCAGGTGCTGTGTGCGTTATGGAGAATAATAAAGCAGAGAAAGGAGGTGCTCGGGAGTGGAGGGCTTGCTTGTCAAACAGGGTGGTCAGAGACGCCACGACGTGAAAACCCACGAAATGTGAGCTATTAATGTTTTTATTCCAAATGAAGACACTAAGCTCAGAGACATGTGCCTCGTTCCGAGGCAGGGCTAGGAGGGCACTGCAGCTCTAAGCCCGGAGCTCAGCCACCCCTCCTGTCTTTACCTCCTCCTGTAGCAAGCCTGCCTTCTGGCCGTAGAGTTCTCTTTATTCCCAGGAGTTGGAGGTGTCTGGGGACGAGGAGGCAACGAGGCGCCTTGGCCAGGTGTCTCGAGGGAGGCCCCACCCAGCTGGGGTCAGGAGTCCTGGGTCCTGTCTGTCCTTGACAAGTCGCTGCTCCTGTAGGTAGGACAAGGAGTTGGGTCTTGGTGGCCTGTTCGCCCTGCAGCTCACACTCACCTGGTTCTGTGGCTTCTGAGAAGCTCTCTTTCGAGGCATCGCCCTCTTTGTCTGGTCACCGGCGCTCAGGTAGCTGCATCTCCTTGGTTAAACCCGGTCAGCCCCGCTGATCTCCCTGGGAGCCAGAACTGGCTGCTGGCATGCTGCAGTCTGCTTGTCACGTCTATGGCGCATCCGCCAGGTTCTCAGCTGGCCCAGAGGGTGGAGGGGGCCCTTCTCCCAGCCTCGGCTACATCTTTCATCTCCATCCACTCAGCGGCGAGGTTTGTGGTTTAGAGCCAGACTCTACGGAGCCTGACTCCTGGATTCACATCTCTTCCCTCCACCCCTAAGTGAGTCATTTAACCTCTCTGTGTCTCTGTTTCTTTGCCTGTAAAAGGGGAACAATCTTAACACTTAGCTCCTAGGGTTGTGGTGGGTATTAAACAAGTGAATGTGTATACAGAGCTCTTTAATCCTGGCACATAGCAAATGCTGTGTAGATGTCAGCGGCTGTTATGGTTATTGATTTTTTATGGAGGACCTACTGTGTGCCTGTCATAGTGCTAAATGCTGAGGATACAGCAGTGATTAAGATAGCATGGTCCCTGCCCTCGGGATGCTCATGTCCTAGTGAGGGATCAGCTACCCTAAGCAACTGAACCCATAAATATCTGCTATGATCTCTAGGTTCGCGGTGGTGCAGTGGTTAAGTGCTCGGCTGCTGGAGGCTGCTAACCAAAAGGTCAGCAGTTCAAATCTACCACCTGCTCTTTGGAAACCCTATAGGGGCAGTTCTCCTCTGAGCTGTTGGGTCGCTGTGAGTTGGAATCAGCTTGACAACAACGGGTTTGCTTGGTTTTTATGATGCGTAGCCCCTGGTCATCTGCCAGCGTGTCATACTGTGGTGGCTTGCGTGTTGCTGTGATGCTGGAAGCTATGCCACTGGTCTTTCAAGTACCACCAGTAGGCTCACGCATGGTGGACAGGTTTCAGCTGAGCTTCCAGACTAATACAGACTGGGAAGAAGGACCTGGCAGTCTACTTGTGAACAAATTGGCCAGTGAAAACCTCACGAATAGCAGTGAAACGTTGTCTGATACAGTGCCGGAAGATGAGCCCCTCAGGTTGGAAGGCACTCAAAATGCAACTAGGGAAGAGCTGCCTTCTCAAAGTAGAGTCCACCTTAATGACGGGGATGGAGTCAAGCTTTCGGGACCTTCATTTGCTGATGCGGCACGACTCAGAATGAGAAAAAACAGCTGCAAACATCCATTAAAATTGGAACATGGAATGTACCAAGTATGAATCTAGGAAAATTGGAAGTCGTCAAAAATGAAATGGAACGCATAAAGATTGATATCCAATGGACTGGTATTGGCCGTTCTGAACTGGACGGTCACATGGTCTGCCATGCCAGGAATAACAAATTGAGGAGGAATGGCATCACATTCATAGTCAAAAAGAACTTTTCAAGATCTATCCTGAAGTATAGTGTTGTTAGTGATAGGATAATATCCATCATTTGAATTATGGTGTTGGCAAAGAATATTAAATACACCATGGACTGCCAGAAGAACGAACAAATCTGTCCTGGAAGAAGTACAGTCAGAATGCTCCTTAGAAGCGAGGATGGTGAGATTTTGTCTCACATACTTTGGACATGTTATCAGGAGAGACCAGTCCCTGGAGAAGGACATCACACTTGGTTAATTAGAGGGTCAGCAAAAAAGAGGAAGACCCTCACTGAGATGGATTGACACAGTGGCTGCAATAATGGGCTCAAGCATAACAACAATTGTGAGGATGGTGCAGGACCGGGCAGTGTTTTGTTCTGTTGTACATGGGGTTGCTATGAGTCAGAACCGACTCGACAGCCCCTAACAGCAACAATTATTTGGTTCAAAGATGACCTCAGAGTAGTTTCGGTTTAAGGTGTGAAGATTTCCTCAGGGTAATGGTTTAGAGGGGGGATGTCATCCAGCTCCACTGGCTCCAGAAAGTCTGGGTATTGGAGGCCATCTTGGAGGCCAGCTACCTCGTCCCACTGGCTGTGGTGGGGAGAATAGACCAGCGGAGGCCGTTGCTGATGTATCAGTGAGAGGTGGTGGGGAGACTGAGGCCCAGAGAGGGGCGGTAATTTAAGGAAGCCTGCACAGCAAGTGGAAACCCTGGTGGCACAGTGGTTAAGAGCTCAGGCTGCTAACTAAAAGGTCGGCAGTTTGAATCCACCAGCCGCTCCTTGGAAACCCTATGGGGCGGTTCTACTCTGTCTCATACGGTCGCTGTGAATCGAAATTGACTCGACGGCAACAGGTTTGGTTTTTGTTTTTTGGCACAGCAAGTAGGCAAGGCCAGAGCCAAGCATTCAACCTTGACTTCCAGAGTGTTCGGTGGGTGGGAAGCCACCCCACCCAGGTCTGAACAGTTTAATGAACAGGTCAGCGAGTGGTGAAGGTCACCGTCTTAGTTATCTAGTGCTGCTATCACAGAAATACCACAAGTGGATGACTTGAACAAACAATTTATTTTCTCACAGTTTAGGAGGCTAAAAGTCTGAATTCAGAGCGCTGGTTCCAGGGGAAGGCTTTCTCTGTCAGGTCTAGGGGAAGGTCCTTATCTTTTTTCAGCTTCTATTCCTTGGTTCCTTGGTGATCTACGAATAGTATGGTATCTATCTATCTTCCTCCGTCTCTGTTTGCTTAATCTGCTCTTTTATATCTCAAAAGAGATTGGTTTAAGATCTCGGCTGCTAACCAAAAGGTCAGCGGTTCGAATCCACCAGCCGCTCCTTGGAAACCCTATGGGGCAGTTCTACTCAGTCCTGTAGGGTTGCTATGAGTCGGAATCAAGTCAACGGCAATGGGTTTGGTTTTTTTTTTTGTTTTTTTTTTTTTTGTTTCTACATTAATACTGCCTCATTAACATAACAAAGAAAACTCATTCCCAAATGGGATTATGAACACAGGTATAAAACCAACCAACAAAGCCTGTTGCTTTCGAGTCAATTCCAATTCATAGCGACCTTATAGGACAGAGTAGAACTGCCCGCATAGGGTTTTCAGGAGCTGCTGGTGGATTCGAACTGCCGACCTTTTGGTTAGCAGTCACGCTCTTAACAACTACAGCACCAGGGCTCCAAATAACACGTATAGGGGTTAGGATTTACAACATGTATTTTGGGGGGACACAGTTCAATCCCTAACAGCTACCTTTATCCCTAGCTCTTGTTTTGCTGCTGTAGGTTCTCGAGCCAGTGCGTCCCCAGGCAGAGGGCCCAGTCACCATGGTGACTGAGCAGGAGGTGGAGGCGATCGGGCGCATGCTGGTGGACCCCCAGCAGCCCCTGCAGGCCCGCTTCCGGGCACTCTTCACGCTGCGCGGGCTTGGCGGCCCGGGTGCCATCAGCTGGATCAGCCAGGCCTTCAGTGACGACTCTGCCCTTCTCAAGCACGAGCTGGCCTACTGCCTGGGCCAGATGCAGGACGCGCGTGCCATCCCCGTGCTGATGGACGTGCTGCGGGACACCCGCCAGGAACCAATGGTGCGCCACGAGGCAGGTGAGTGGGCAGCGCGGCAGGGCCGCTGGCGTTCACGGCTCCCTCCGTCCTCACCCTTCGTGGCCTCTCCTGTCTGCTCACTCCCAGAGGATACAGAGCAGGGCTTGGCCAGCTGTTTCAGTAAAGGATCAAAGGAAATGTTTTGGCTTTGCAGGCCAGTCTCTGTCACAGCTACTCAGCTATGCAGTCACAGAGCAGAAGCTGCCAGAGACAGTGGGCAGGGCTGTGTGCCAGTAAGACTTTATTAAGGACACTGGGATTTGAATTTCATAGAATTTTCAGGTATCCTGAAATAGCAGTCTTTGTATTCTTTTGATGTTTTAAAGGAGCCCTGGTGGCGTAGTAGTTAAGAGCTCCACTAACCAAAAGGTCGGCAGTTCAAATCCACCAGCCGCTCCTTGGAAACCTTATGGGGCAGTTCTACTCTGTCCTGTAGGGTTGCTATGAGTCAAAATCGACTCAACAGCAACGGGTTTTTGATGTTTTAAAACCATTAAAAATATATATAAAAACCATTCTTCGTTCGCAGGCCGTACAAAAACGGTTTGCCAGCCCCTGATGTATATCACAGGATTCCCCGGGTGGCACAAACGCTTAAGCGGTCAGCTACTCACTGAAAGGTTGGCAGTTGAGCCCACTCAGAGGCACCTCGGAAGAAAGGACTGGCGATCTGCTTCCGAAAGGTCACAGCCATTGAAAACCCTTTGGAGCGCAGTTCTACCGTGAAACACATGGGGTCGCCGTGAGTCCAGATGGACTTGACGGCAGCTGGCGGTGGTGGCTGCGTATTACAGATTTATTTCATCTATTCAGCAGACATTCGTGGAGCCCCTACTGTGTTCCAGCCCTGTCCTTAGCAGAGGGGATGCAGTGTGGCAAGACAGCCACCGTCCCTGTTCTAGCGAGTCTGTGCCCTTACAACCTGTGTTTCTGGAGCTCGTTTGCAATTAGTATGTGCAGGGCGCGTAAGGCAGAGGTGGTGTTAGTGCACGCGGGAGTCATCCTGAGCCGAGGGAGTCAGCCAGGCAGGCATGGAAATACAAATTACAGCCTTCGGCACAAAAGCAAAGAGCTGTCAGCTCAGCTGCCACACGGGCCGGAGACCTGGAGCTCCTTTTTAAAAAATTTCCTTGTGGGTGGCACAAATGGTTACGTGTCCAACTACTGGCTGAGAGCTTGGCGGCTCAGACCCACCCAGCAGCACCTCGGAAGACAGGCCTGGCGAACCGCTTCCGAAAGGTCACAGTCTTGAAAACCCTACGGAGGAGTTTTACTCTGACACACATGGGGTCGCCATGAGTCAGAATCAACTCGACGGCACCCAGCAACGACAACAACAGGTAGTCCCCAACTGGAGCCCTGGTGGCGCAGTGGTTAAGAGCTCAGCTGCTGACCAGAAGTTTGGCAGTTCGAATCTACCAGCTGCTCCTTTATTTGTCTCGGGGGGTTGGAAACATTACATATAAACGTAAAGATACATTGTAATACATACATAAAAAAATACACAAATCGTGAACATGTACTCTGATGATGAAGAGTTGGACGATGTTGGCATTTTGTCTGTTGCCGTAATAACTCCACTTGTGGAAGGTTCTGGATCGTCTGGATTAACCCTGGGAATGGGCATGGTGTTTCTAGTCAGAAAATTAGTGAGAGTTGTCTGTATGGTCCATTTCTTTTTTTCTTCATCTATTTCACGGTAACATCTCACTGCTTCCCAAATCTGATGTTAGCAAAGTGATCAGCCTTTGGTCCATGTTTTCAAGCAACCAAAGCCCTTGATGTAGTTTAGAAAAAACTTCAGCTAATCCTGTCCCTGTAAAAATTTTTGACAACTTCTCTCCTTCCTCTTGGTCATTCTTCCTTTCTTTTTCCGTATTTCTTTTCTCTTCAAAATCCATTAAGTCCCAATCTGTCAGTTCCCCTTCTTCGTGATCTATGAGCTGTTCCACTTCGTCGACATCAAGTTCTAAATTCAGCGTTTTTGCTATAAGGACGATTTTTCCACCGATCTCGTCCGTCATATTATCCTGTCAAATGCTTGGAGCGTGTTCACATAAATCCTCAGTCTCTTGCATATCTCCCGCACGCATTTCCCTGTAACTTGCTTCCAGGAAGATGCAGTGTTCCAGATACACTGATGGTCGTAAGTGTGGTTCGTAACTTGAGTACGTCGTAAGTTGGGCTCTACCTGCATACTAGAAGGTTTGCCGTTGTAGCTGTTTTTAAGTGTACAATTCAGTGACATGATTATATTCACCACATTGTACGACTGTCACCACCATCCGTTTTAAGAATTCTCATCCCCCCAGACAGGAACTCAGTACCTGTTAAACAGGAACTCCCCGCTCTCCTTCCCCAAGCGCCTAGTAACCTCTAATCTACTTTCCGTCTGTATGCATTTGCCTGTTTTAGGTATTTCCTATAAGTGGGATCATACACGATTTGTTCTTTTGTGTCTGGCTTCTCTCACTGAGCATCCGGTTTTCAGGGTTCACTCATGTTGTACGGGTATCAGTGCTTCATTCCGTTTTGCAGTTGAATAATCACCCATCGTGGGAGAAAGACGTGGCAGTCTCCTTCCATAAAGATTACAGCCTGGGCAACCCTATGGGGCAGTTCTGCTCTGTCCTCTAGGGTCGCTGTGAGTTGGAATCGCCTCGACCGCACACAATAACAACAATAACCCATTGAAGGAGCCCTGGCGGCCCAGTGGTTGAGCGCTTGGCTCCTCACCAAAAGGTTGGCAGTTTCAACCCACCCAGCGGTTCCTGGGAAGAAAGACCTGGCTATCTGCTCCCATGAAGATTACAGCCAAGAAAACCCTCTGGGGCAGTTCTCCTCGGTCCCACAGAGTAGCTGTGGGTCCAGATTGACTCATCGGCACCCAACCGCAACAGTGAGCCATTGTGTGGACGGACCACATGGCGTGTATCCATTCATCCGTGGATGGACATTGGCTTGTTTCCGCCTTTTGGCTACTGTGAATAGCGGTGCACTGAACATCGGTGTAGACATACCTGTTCGAGGCCTTGCTCTCAAGTCTCTTGGGCATATACCTAGGAGTGGGACTGCCTGTCTTTGTAAACATTGGGGTACTGAACTTTCTTTTAAGAAAAGGAAGGTGAGCATCTGTACCCAGGCCCCCCCACCGGAGGTCCCCCCAGCCATGCCCAGCTCTCTTCCTGTGACACATTGTCCTCCCCCTCCCCCTCCAACCCATCTGAGCGGCAGCCCTGCTGGCTGAGTTGCTTCCAGCTCCAAAGACTGCGGCAGCCCCCAAGCCTGGCCTTTATTTCCGTTTGACTGGGGGGAAGGTGCCTTTTTAATATTCCCCGACATCCTCTCCGGCTATTCTGAGCCGCTGCCCTGGGCTAGCTCAGGGAACTCTCGAGATGGCAGCGACTGTTTTTCTTAGAGCCCTCCTTACAAAGCACGTTCTACCCTTACCCTAGTTTTCCCCATAAGCTCTGCTATTTTTCTTGTGTCATTTTGCAGAATGCCAAATTGTGTTATAGTGGAAACACTTACATCAGCGCTGAGGAGGAAAATATACCAGGGAATGGGGTGGGGGTGACAGAGTGAGGGAGCAGTGGCAGTTTTTAATCGGTGAACAGAGACCTGAATGAAGTAAGAGAGTTGTCTATGGGAGCAGTGTTCCAGGCAGAGGGAATAGCCCGTGCAAAGGCCCTGAGGCAGGACAGAGCCTGGTGAGTTGGAAGAACAGTGAGGAGGCCCGTGTGGCTGGAACAGAGTGAGCAGGAGGGACAGAGGAGGAGGGGAGGGAAGGGAGGGAATGGGGCAGGCCGTGGGCTTTTACCTGAGGGAGGTGGGTGCCCTGGAGGGCTGTGGGCAGAGGATGGACAGGCCCTGACACAGGTTCTGACCGACTCTGGTCCATCTGGACCGTCTTGATTACGAGTAACAGGATGCCTGGTAGCTCTAGAGCAGAAGAGGGATTTGAGGGAGTGTCTTCTCCAGCCTTGCGTCTCTACCCTCTCAGGCCTGTCTGTGCTCACGGGGGAAAAGGTCAAAGTTCTCCATGCAGCCCCCAAGGCCCTGCCCAGTCTGGCATCTGCTGACCTTCAGCTGCATTGTGGGATTCTCCCTGACCTGTCCTGTCCACCTGCCACCTCTGCCCCAGCCTCAGGGCCTTGGCACACGCCATTTCCTCCCGCCTGGAAGGCCTCACCCTCACCCTTGGTCAGCTGACCCTCATCCCTCACGTCACAGGGGTCTTTCCCGGGTGGGCTCAACTCGTCCAGCCCCCACTGAATGTTCTTGGAGCCCCCTTGTCAGCTTGGTCCCCGAGGGTGATGACTGATTTGTGTACGTCGAGCTCTGGGATCAGTTTTGCTCACTGCTACAGCCTTGGAGCCTCACCTGTTGCTGTTGGGTACCGTCGAGTCGATTCCAACTCACAGTCACCCTACAACTGCCGCACAGGGTTTCCTAGGCTGTAATCTTTACAGGGAGCCCTGGTGGTGCAGTGGTTAAGAACTTGGCTGTAAACTAAGTAACAGTTTAGTTCAAAGAGCAAAGATTGTTACCCTCGAGTATCAAGTTCTTTTTTTTTTTTTTTTTTAAATTATCTCTACAAGACCAAAGGGTGAACAGCTATTTTAAAGCATAGATGAGAAGTTTGTGGTGGGGCGGGGCAGGGAGTTTAAGTTAATGAAAGTGAAGTAAACAGAACAGAAATAAGAGAATACTGGCACAGCGTGAAGACTATAATCAATGTCCCCAACTATTATGGCTAGAAACTATGGAATGGGAGACAGTGTTGCTGTGTATATTTTCACCAAAAATAAAATATTAATTAAAAAAAAAAAAAAGAACTTGGCTGTTAACCAAAAGGTCAGCAGTTTAAATCCACCAGCCACTCCTTGGAAACCCTAGGGGGCAGTTCCACCCTGTCCTATAGGGTCGCTATGAGTCGGAATCGACTCGATGGGAATGGGTTATTTTGGTTTTAATCTTTACGGGAGCAGATTGCCAGGTCATTCTCCTGCAGAGCCACTGGTTGAGTTTGAACCGCCAACCTCTTGGTTAGCAGCTGATTGCTTAACCACTGCACCACCAGGAGCCTCACCTAGCTTCAGTCAAGGCTAAGTTCTGGGGGAAGGATTCTGATTGGCCCATCTTGGAGCCTGGACCTGCTCCGGCTCCAATCAGCTGTGGCCAGGGGCAGGACCACATGATACAGGCAGTTCTATGGGGTGTGGGCTGCCATTGGGAGGTGGGGGAGCAAGAAAGAGATGACGTAAGCTGGGTGGATGCCCCCATTTCCCAACCAACATGAGTTCTCTGGTGGGTTCTTTTCAGGGGAGGCGTTGGGGGCCATTGGGAACCCGGAAGTTCTGGAGATCCTGAAGCAGTACTCCACTGACCCCGTTGTTGAGGTAATGCCCCTGACCCCGACCCTTCCTTCCATCTATCCCCTGCTCCCTACCAGTCTCAGTTGGTCCAGGGGAGGCTCTGCCCAGCCCTGGCCTAAACCAGCCTCAGACCCTATCTGGTTGCCATGACAATGACTTGGCCAAGGATGCTCCAGGGATAAGGGAGGAGAGGGTGTAGCCAGGAGGCCCATTTGGTAGACCCAAACTCTTGATTCACTGAGCACTACAAAACCTGCTCTGCTCCAGTCAGCAGCGTCCGTGGGCCTGAGCCACTGAGCCATCCCTGCCTCCCACATCCAGCCCCTCTGTCAAGACCTCCCTGAACCCATCCACTTCTCTCTGTCCCTGCTCCGCCAGCTGGGCCCACCAGACCTCTCCAGGGGTCTCCCTGCTGCTGCCTTTCTTTTTTCTTCAACAGGTTCATTGAGATTTAACTCACACATCATACAGTTCACCCATTTCAAGTGTACAATTCGATGGTTTATAGTATATTCACACAGTTGTGCAACCATCACCACTATCTAATTCCAGAACATTTGACCAACCCAAAAAGAAACCCCTCACCCATCAGCAGTCACTCCCCATTCTCCTTCCCCCAACCCCTAGGCAACCACTAATCCACTTTCTGTCTCTATGGATTTCCCTTTTCTGGACATTTCATATCAATGGAATCATACATGTCCTTTTGTGTGTGACTTATTTTACTGGGAATAATGTTTTCAAAAGGAGTCCTGGTGGTGCAATGGTCAAGCGCTTAGCTGCTAACCAAAAGTTCGGCAGTTTGAACCCACCAGCGGCTCCGCAGGAAAAAAGAACTGGCAATCTGTTCTTGTAAAGACTTCAGTGTGAGAAACCCTATGGGGCAGTTCTACTCTGTCATATAGGGTCTCACTGAGTCGGAATTCACTCAGTGGCACACAACAGCGTTTTCAAGGTTTATCCATGGCACAGCATGTCTGAGGACTTCATTTCTCTCTCTGCTGTTTGGATGGACCATACTGTGTATATCCATTCATCAGCTGGTGGACACCTGGGTTGTTTCCACTTGGGGGCTGTTATGAATTGTGGCTGGGGACATGCGTGGACACATCTTTGTGGGGACGTGTGTTTTCACTTCTCACCAGCTGCCTTTCTTGCCCACATCTTACGCCCGCCCTCAGTCTCTCCTCTTGGCAGTCAGGGGATCTGTGACAGCTCAGGCCTGATGATACTAGTCTGTCACTTAGCACCATCACCAGACATTCGTCACCTGCAGGACAAAACCCAGTCCTCACCATGGCCCACAAGGCCCTAAGTCATCCAGCCCTGACCACCTCACATCATCTCTGCTGCTTGCTTCCCCGCTGCAGCCACATGGGCCTCCTCACTGTTCCACCAGCTCACAGGCACAGTCCTGCCCCAGGGTCTTTGCATGGCTATTCCCTCTGCCTGGAATGCTGTTCCCTCCAGATCTCCTTATCCTCCAAGTCTCTGCTCAAATGTTACCTCCTCCAAGAAGCCCTCCTGACTTCTCTTGCATAGTCAATTTCCATTTCCTCCCTGCCTTCCCCTCCTCTTCTCTCCCCCTCACCCACTCTGCTTCAGCCACACAGACCTCCTTGTTGTTCCTCCAACTCACCAAGCCTGGTCCCGCCCCAGGGCCTTTGCACCAGCTGTTCCCTCTGCCTGGAGCACTCTTCTTCCTACTTTCACAGGGGTCACTCCCTTGCTTGGTTCAGGTCTCTGCTCTGTGTCACCTCCTCATTGAGGCCCTCCCTGACTGCCCGCACCAATCACGGCATGGTTTATTTCCAATCTGGAATCGTCCTTTAGTCTCTGTGTCGGTCATCCCTCGTTCCTCATCCCTGCTAAACCACAAGCCCCAGAAGATGGGGACGGGGTCTGTCATGTCCACCCAGTGTCCCCAGTGGCCAGCCCAGGAGGCACTTCACCTCGCCCCCATGAGCGACACTGCCTGTGCCCCCCTCCTGCAGGTGGCCGAGACGTGCCAGCTGGCGGTCCGGCGGCTGGAGTGGCTGCAGCAGCACAGTGGAGCGCCGGCGACGGTGGGGCCATACCTCTCGGTGGACCCAGCCCCACCGGCTGAGGAGCGCGATGTGGGGCGGCTTCGGGAGGCACTGCTGGATGAGGCCCGGCCGCTCTTCGACCGGTACCGGGCCATGTTCGCCCTGCGCAACACCGGCGGCGAGGAGGCCGCCCTGGCGCTTGCCGAGGGTAAGGAGGGCCCTGGGGCGTGGGACCGTGGTGCAGGCATCAGGGGCAGCACGTGCAAAGGTCCTGGGGTGGTGAAGGAGCAGCGCGCAGGCTTAGGGCCGCTCCATGCTCCCATGAGGCCCAGTGGCCACCTCTGAAATGAAGCAAAGGAGAATCCCCTGTGCCTGGTGTCGCCCTGTGGCCCTCACAGACGTTAGCTAATCCTTGGAGGCTGGTGGGTGCCCCCCTGTGTCCATTTTCCCCATGGGGAGACTGAGGCACAGAGAGACAAGGAAGCTTGCCCAAGGTCACACAGCCCGGGGGAGGCTGAGTTGGAATTTGACCTCGGCAGCCTGTCTCCAGTCCCCTTACCTTCTTTGCTGCTATTATTGTTCTTATTAGTTTCACTTCAGCTATGCAGGGTGTGCTATGGGGGGCCTTGGGGAGCTGAGGTTCCCCATATGTGGAGATAAGGAGACAGTGTGGGACATGGTGGTGATCCCTGCCCCAGGGAGAAGGAGCCACTAGATCCCCACCCCTGAGGTGTTCCCACTGGCGCAGCCGTCCGCCCTCCAGGTGTTCTCAGGCGGGCTGGGCAGATGGTCAGTCATCATCAACCTGGGCCGGGGGTGACAGTCTCCGGGGACCCAGAGGATGCCAGGAGGGAGCACAGAGGAGGGCGTGGTGTGGGTTTGTCTTCAGTCATGGCTAACAGCAAGGGGCCCCACAGCTAGCCAGCAGGCTCCGAATCCCAGCTCTGCCGTGAAAAGGGCGTGTGGGCAAGTGTTTCCCCTTCTGGAAACTTACGGCTGTTTCATGGAGCTGTGGAGACGGGTGGAGCACGGACGGGGTCACACACTTTAAAAGCGCGTGAAGATCAGCACTATTACTGATCCTGAATTGACATGGGAAAATATAAGTGGCAGCCAGAGACACAAGGCGCAACGCAAATAATGTTTCATGACATCGTGTCTACGCAGCCCGCGAATGAGTGCTTAAGGAGGTCCAGGGGTCCGGAGGGGGCTGGGCGGGGCTGGGCTGGGGGCGGGGAAAGGAGGCAGCGGGCCCAGGGGGAGCCTCCTGTCCGGAGCGCCGTATTCCCAGAACCTAGACGTTTTGTTTTTCCCTCTCTGCTCTCTGCCTGGGGCTTCGGTCCCCCACCTTGATGCTTAAAGTCCTCTGCTTACTTTTAAAAAATCAATGCAAGTGTCACTCTTAGGGGCTATGACTCTCCCCAGCATGCCCCGCTCTGCCCGGAGCCGCGGGTCCCTCCGTCTGCCCAGTCCAGACCACCCAAGACTAGGGGACGGGGAGCTCCTTTCCATCCCACCCCCCGCCCCAGGTCTGTCATCCTTTCTGTTCCCTGTGCCCCCAGCCCATGCCTCTGACTGTGCGCCCGTCCTGAGCTGGGCCCCGTAGGCCGGCAGCGCCCTCCAGCGTCCTTTCTCGCCTTCTCGCCCGCAGGCCTGCGCTGCGGCAGCGCGCTCTTCCGCCACGAGGTGGGCTACGTCCTGGGCCAGCTGCAGCACGAAGCGGCCGTGCCCCAGCTGGCGGCCACGCTGGCCCGCTGCGCCGAGAGCCCCATGGTGCGGCATGAGTGCGCCGAGGCCCTAGGCGCCATCGCCCGGCCCGCCTGCCTGGCCGCGCTGCGGGCCCACGCGAAGGACTCTGAGCGCGTGGTGCGCGAGAGCTGCGAGGTGGCCCTGGACATGTACGAGCACGAGAGCGGGCCGGCCTTCCAGTACGCGGACGGGCTCGAACGCCTGCGCCAGCCCTTCTAGGACCCTCCCCGCCCCCGCAGGGAGGCCCCGCCCCGACAGCTGGAGACCCCCTATAGTCCCCACCCCTCCAGGAAGCCCCTCCCTCCTCATAGAGGCCACGCTCCCGCAAGTGGAGACCCTTCCCTCCTATAGACCCCACCTTCCAGGAAGCCCTGCCCTCCTAGAGAACAGGCCCTTGTAACCGTAGACTCCGTTCTATAGGCACCTTTCCTCCAGGAGGCCCCGCCGTCTCGTGGAGTTTCCGCCTGCCCTCTTCTCATACACCCTGCCCTCCCAGTGGCACCTCCCTCCCCCAGGAGGCCCCGCCTTGACCTGCACCTTCCCCAAGGCGGGGTGGGCTGGGACTCTGGAATTTTCGGATCTGCTCGTCTGGATTTCCAGAGAGCTGCCCGGACTTTGGTGTATAAACCGGCTTTGTGCAAATGGGATCTCATTTCCCATCCAGCTGACTTGCCGGTGAAAGTGCTCTTGCCAGCCATCTGTTCAGCAGTTTCTGCCTCTGCGTTGGAAACCCATCCCGGGCGAGGCTGGGGGCTCTTCTGTCATCCTCCACCCCCGGGCCTGGCGCACTGCCCGCGTCGAGGTTTCCTGGCGCAGGGTTGGGACTCCGGGAAAGGGTTCAGGATGTGCCTCTTGGGAGGAAGGCTTGGGGGGATCTTGGCCCTGGCTGGGGTCTTTTGGGAGAGGTTGGGATACAGTGGCTCAGGCTTCTCTAGAATGAGGGCTTGGGTTGTTGGGGAAGGCGCTGACAAAATCCGGCCCAGGACTGTGGCTGCGGTGACCCAGCCCTCCACGCAGCTGGCCGGTGTGGGGAGGCGGTCCTTGGGTGGGCTGGGCTAGGGGCCAGGGAGGGGCAAGCCAGACCTCAGGGCGCTGCCCAAATGGAATATTGAATTATTTTTGCCAAACGTTGACTCCTCAGAGTGTTGAGGGAGGGGAGGCTGGGAGCGGGAGGATGGCCGCTCTCAAGGAAACCTCATGTGCGTGGGGTGGTGGGCATTTGGGTGGATCAGCTGGGGTCTGCCCTGACTCCCGTGACCATCGGTATCAACAGCCCATGCCTATTTCACCATCAGGGGGTTGGGGGGCAGATCTGCCAGCAGGCCCCCTCCCAGGGGGCTCTGGGGAAATAGCCCTCCAGCCTGGCCCACCCCAAGCCACCACCTGACTCACCTCCTATTGGGGACACAGGGGAAGGGGTTTATTGGTGCAGCTAAGAGCCCAGGCTGTGGGTTCCAGTTTCGTTGGGTCCACTTCCTCTGTGTGCAGCCGAGCGCATTAACCCTTTGCACCACCCAGGGACTCCTACTGCAGAGTAGCTTTTATGTGAACTGCGTCTTCTCCATGTCCGCGTTCCAAGTGCCTGCGCCCATCATCACCCTGCTACATGTCAGCCGCCCATCCCCTCGCTGAACCTCCAGCACACCCTTCATCCTCGATGTTAGCGCGTCACCTTGCTTCCTGCTTTGGTGAGAAAATTAGGCGATTAGAACTGCCGCCTGCTCCCACTGCCCTCTCTGCCCAGCTGCCTGGCCCTGTGCCCTATACTCAGCCTTCCCGCCTGTTATGTGGATGACACTGCTCCCAGCCAAGACCCCTGTATGTGGTACAAACGGTTAGGGGCTACTAACCGAAAGGTTGGAAGTTTGAGTCCACCCGGAGGTACCTTGGAAGAAAGGCCTGGCTATCTACTAAAACAATCAGCCATTGAAAACCTTTTGACACACATGGGGTCACTGTGAGTAGGAATTGACAGCAGCTGGTTTGGTTTTGGGGTTGATGTAACAAATTACCACAAATTTAGCAGCTTAAAATGACATTTATTATCTCCCATGCTTTCTCAGAGTCAGGAATCCTACAGGGGTTGAGCTGGGTGGTTCTGGCTCAGAATCTATCTCAGATCTCTTCACTTCTACCCCCTCCTCTGCCTCCACCTGGGCCAGGCCCTTCACTGACCACCTGGACCAGTGCAGTCGCCTCTGCCCTGGTTCCCCTGCCATCCCGCCCTTGCTTCCCAGTCTTTTCCCACCAAAGCCACCAGAGGTCGCCCGTGAGCACCTGAGTCAGGGCCCCCACCTCCCTCTGGTAGAAGTTGAAGCCCTTGCCTTGGCCCACAGAGCCCTGCACGATCTGCCTGGTCCCCTCCCTGTCCTTCCCCTCCTCCTCTCTCCCCCTAGCTCACTATGCTCCAGCCACACAGGGTGTCCTCACTGTTCCTCCAACTCACCAGGGATGATCCTGCCTCAGGGCCTTTGCACGGGCTGTTCCCTCTGCCTGGAACACGTGTGAGTATCCCCTGGACACTCATGTGGCTGTTCCTCTTCTCCTCCAGATCTCAGCTCAAATGTCATCTTCTCAGTGAGGCCTTGGCTACCTATTTCAAAGAGTCCTACTTCCCTCCTATGAGACGGTGGTTCAGGGGTAGGATTCTTGCCTTCCGTGCAGGAGACCTGGGTTTGATTCCCGGGCAGTGCACCTCATGCACAGCTCTCACCCGTCTGTCCGTGGAGGTTTGTGTGTTGCTGGGATGCTGAACAGGTTTCAGTGGAGCTGACAGACTAAGAAAGACTAAGAAGAAAGGCCTGGTGATCAACTTCTGAAAATCAGCCAATGAAAACTCTGTGGATCACAGCAGCCCAATCTGCAACCAATCATGGGGATGGCACAGGACCGGGCAGCGATTTTGTTCCGCTGTGCGTGGGGTCGCCGTGAGTCAGGGACCGACTGACAGCAGCTAATAATAACTTACCTCCTAGAAGTCAGTCTACACCCCTTTACCATGCCCTCCTCCCCCCGTACCACTTCCTACTTTCTAACTTACTGTATCATTGGAGGCTATGTTGATGCCTAGCCCCTGGGTGGCACAGTTAAGCGCTTTACCACTAACTGAAAGGTTGGTGTTTCGAGCCCACCCAGAGGCATCTCGCAAGAAAGGACTGGCAATCTGCTGCACACATGGGGCCACCATGAGTCAGAACTGACACCACCTGGAAATGTTGATTTCCACGTCTGTCTCCTTGGCTTGGAGCCCTGATGGCAGAAATGGTTAAGTACTCGGCTGCTAACTGGGTGGGTTCCAACCCAGCCAGCGGCCCTGTGGGAGGAAGACTGGCAGTCGGCTCCGGTAGAGATTCCAGCCTAGGACACCCTACGGGGCGGTTGTGCTGTCACATGGGGTCGCTGTGAGTCAGAATCACCTGGATGACACCTAACAACAGTTCCTTACCTTCCGGGTCAGCTCCGTGAGGGCAGGGATCCGTCTGCCTTGTCACAGCTGAGTCCCAGCCCTGAGAAGGGTCTCTGACTACAGTAACCCAAAAACCCACTGCCGTCGAGTCGATTCCAACTCACAGCAACCCTGTAGGACAGAGTAGAACTGCTCCATAGGGTTTCCAAGGCTGTGATCTTTACGCGAGAGATGGCCACATCTTTCTCCCGCGGAGAGGCTGGCGGGTTTGAAACGCCAGCCGTTTGGTTAGCAGTGGAGCGCTTGACCCCTGCACCACCAGGGCTCCTGGTCCCAGCAGGTGCTGCATAATTACTTGGGGGAATGAATGAAGCCAGGGAAGCTGCCTTAGGAAAAGCTGGGGCAGGGCGTTGTCTGCAGACAGAAGGGCAAGTTCACAGGCCAGGAGGAGGGAAGGATAGAGGCCCGTGTGGCTGGGACTGAGGAGGAGGGGTCTGGGGCCTCCGGAAGCGATCTGCGATGGGATTAATCCCAGCAGATGGTGGCCAAGGGAGAGCCCCCCAATCCTCTTAGCCCAAAGCCCCCTAATACTTCCGCCGCGCGGTCACCTCCGGGCCTCGGCTGCTCCGAGGCCGCGATGCCGGGGCTGGCGGACGAAGAGGAGCCCGAGGGCCGGAGCCCGGCCCCACCGCTGTACGAGGAGTACCGGCCGCCGCCTCTGGACTCCATCCGCCTGCCCCAGGACGCGCTGTACCTGCTGCTGGCCGCGCTCCTGGTGGGGGGCGTGGCCTACGCCATCGTCGGTCACCTCATCAAGGACCTGGCCCATGACCTGGCCGGTGAGCCGCCACCTACCGCCAGCCTGGCTGGGTGTGTGCTGGGGGGTTCTAGGGCCTGTCCTAGCCAGGGACAGGCGGAGGGTGGGCGGGGCACTGGGGGAGGCCGAAGGTCTCTTTGGGGTCAGTGCTATGGGGTGGAGGGTGGGCGGGGACTGGGAGGCTGGGGGTCTCTCTGGGCCCAGGATGGGCCAGGGGTGGACGGTGCCCGGGAGGCTCCTCACCACCCTCCCCACCGGCTGCAGACTGGGCCTTTGGGCCGAAGCCGGACCAGGAGGCTGCTCCCCGGGAGCTGCGCCCGAGCCTGGCGGGCGAGGGCCTGGAGGAACTGGACCTGCGGCTGGCCCTGGCCTGGCGGAGCGATGAGGACACAGGCCGGGGTGCCGAAGGGGCCCCTGTGGAGCCCCCTGCCCGGGCCCCCCGCCACCCTTCCATCACCTTCAAGGATCCGTCTGTCCGAAGCAGCTTCTGGAGGCTGGACTGAGCCGGGTCCTCTCTGCAGGCCCTGCCCCCAGACTCCGGCCCCTTTGGGGGATGAATGGATGCAGCTTGTGCTAACGGAGCCCCTTTCTCCACCGACCTGCCCACAGGGTGGAGAAGCGGTTTCCTTCCAGGCTCCTGCCTCCCCCACATCCCCAGAACCTAACCCCACTCAGCCTCACCCAGCCGTCAGCAGTCTGTAAACCAGGAACACAAATAAGATTTTGTAAAAAAAAGAAAATAATAGCAGCTAACTCTGATTGTTAGTGGCCATCGAGTGACCCATGGTGACCCCAAGCACAAGGGAATGGAATGCTTCCCGGTTGTGCGCCATCCCCGTGATTAGTTGGGGATCAGACCATTGGGATCCTTGGGGTTTTCAGTGGCTGATTTTGGAAGTTGATTGCCAGGTCTTTCTTCCTAGTCTATCGTAGTCTGAAAGCTCCCCTGAAGCCTGTTCAGCATCCTAGTAACACGCAAGCCCCCACTGACAGCCAGGGGATGGCTGTGCATGAGCTGTGCTGGCTGGGCGCATGGAAGGCGGGAATTCTGCCACGGAGCCGCCGCTGCCCTCAGCTAACCCTTAGCTAGTACTTACGCGTCTGCTGCTGTGCTGAGTAAGCCCTCTCTGCATCTCATGTAACCCTCTAGAGTGGACGCATCACCTCCATTTCACAGCTAAGGAAACTGAGGCACAGAGCAGGTCAATGACTTAGCCAAGCAGCAGAGAGCTTTTCACGCAAAAAGCCCGTTTGAGCCATTTCGCTTGGAATGCAGAAGCTCCGAGGAGGGTCCTGCCCCCACTGCTCCCCTGGGCCCCCCACCTCTTCTTCCCCTCCACCCCCCACCTCCCACCTCGTGCACACTCTGCTACCCAGCGTCTGTATCCTTTTGTCTCTGGGCATCCTGACTTCCCAGATCCGCCCGAGGATGGTACTGAGGCTTCCTCCTCTTCCAAGCCTTGCCCAGGACAGGGAGCACAACATGCGCTTAATATATGCTCACCTGGCTGGTGGAAGTGGGCCCGTGGCTTGTCCTGGCTGGGACATCTGAGTTCTGTCATCCTGGCTCCGCTGAGTGGCCCATCTGCACAAGACCAGGTATACAGTCAGTGCTGCAAAAATGGCTTGGAGGAGGTGTCTGACCTCCTCCAACCCCACCAGGGGGAAGGAGAATCAAGATCAACAGCCCCAGGCTGATTCCTGTGAGGTGGGGGGTCAGACATGCCTCCTCTCTCTGCCACGTTTACCAGTTCTGACACCAACCGTCCCTCCCACGGCACTGTCTGCTGGGTTTGATAATTCATTGCAATGGCCACACAGAACTCACAGACCATACTCACAATCACGGGGTTTATTAGGGAAGTTACAGGTTACAATTCAGCCTCAGAAACCCTCAGGATACAGTTCTTCCATCAGGACAGCCTCTTCCCAGCCGTGCTTGCAGGCACGCCTCTCCCTGGCCCTTGGCCTCTGCCCAAAGGCACTCAGCTTTCTCTCTCCCTGGGCCGGGAAGCCCACGGCGCCTACTCATGTGGCCGGGTCTCTCTTTCCTTGGTGGTGGGCTCCTCCTCTCTGCTTTGGAATTGGCTCTCTTTTAATGCAAAACTGACCAATCCCCTTTGTGGGCTACGATTACCCTATCACACAGTCACCTGGGTGGGAGTTATAAGACCATGGCTAGACAGGCCACACACAAAAGTAATTAATCCACCGCAGCTCCATAAAGGCACATGGCAAGACAGCTGGAATCCTCCCCACCCCCAAGGGGCCCGTGGAATTCTCCCAGACCTGGAGGAGGCCAGGCCCCCGCTGGGCCTTCCTGCCAACCCCCAGGGCTGTGGCTGAGTCTGTGGCACTGGGGTGGGGTTCCACTTTGCCCGGGCAGGGCCTACTATCTGATCAACCTGGTGGCCAAGGTTGATGGGGAGCGGGGGGGAGGAGAGGTGGGAGCATGAGTCACCCGCTGCCCAGGGCACCCCAGTTCTCTGAACACACGGGAGCATCTGGATTTGGAGGTGGACGGCGGGCACACGGCCAGCTCCTTTGTTCATCCTCACACTCATGTGGGGCCCAGGGGCCTGGGAGCCAGGATGGGGCAGTGTGAGCTGGCGGTGAGGGAGACGCCTGGCCTGGGTTCAAATCCTGCTCTGATGTTGCTACTGTATGACCTTGGCTGAGTTGACCCCATGTGTATCAGAGTAGAACTGTGCTCACTGGCTGATTTTCGGAAGTCCATCGCCAAGCCTTTCTTCCTAGTCTTTCTTAGTCTGGAAGCTCCGCTGAAACCTGTTTCGCATCTTAGCAACATGCAAGCCTCTGTGGACAGCCAGGTGGTGGCTGCTCATGAGGTGCATTGGGTAAGAATCGAACCCTAGTCTTCCCAATAGAAGGCAAGAATTCTACCACTGACCCGCCACTGCCCCCACCCCACCATAACCTGTAACCAGCTGCAGTATGGCAGGTAGAAATGTGCTACCTAGGGTTTTCAATGGGTGAGTTTTCCGAAGCAGTTCACCAGACCTTTCTTCTGAAGCATCTCTCGGTGGACTCGAACCTCCAACCTTTCGGTTAGCTGCTGAGCATGCTGCTAACCCCACCACCCACGGACTCCTTGTGTGATATTAAAAAAAAAAACCAACCCGTTGTCGTAGAGTCGACTCTAACTCAGCAACCCTCTGGGGCAGGGAGATCTGTTCCACAGGGTTTCCAAGGCTGTAATCTTTTTGGAAGCAGACTGCCCCTGTCTTTTCTCCCACAGAACAGCTGGTGGGTTCGAACTGTCAAACTTCCCGTTAGTAGCTGAGCGCTTAACTGTTGTGCTACCAGGGCTCCTTAGTGCGTTTGCTAGGATGAGGAAATACAATGTAACCGTGTAAGCGACAAAGAGTGACTCTGTTATATTTTTATTACATTCCAGTTTGTCAGTTCACACACGGGTAATAGGTGTGCACAGGCCCGGGGGGGGGGGTGCCTAGGGGGACGTCAGGGCCATCTTGCTGGACCCCAGCATTGAGGATGCAGGGGCGTGGCCCGGGGTGATGGTTCTGAGGCTGGTGGCAGGGGGGCGGGGCCAGTTCCCGGGTTAATTGTTACTGGAGTCCAGACTCTGCCCTGGGAGGGGGGAGGGCAGGAGCTGGCGGAGGAGGGGTGGGTGGTGCTAAGGGAGAATCCACACCCAGGCTTGTGGACACGGACCTGGGACTGCTCACTCGTTGGCTGGCCATGGAGACCCTGGGGACCCTTCTTGTGCTCGTCACCCTACTTCTCAAGCCCTCTGAGGCCCAGCAGGGTAGAGGGCGACCTCCGGGGCAGGGGTGGGGGATGGGCGTGGGAGTGGGGATGGTCAGGGGGTTCCCCATCTCCCCATTTTCCATCATGAGGAACTGAGGTAACTGAGAAGGGGCAGGAAGAAGGAGAAGGGGGAGAGGCCCCTCTCAAAGCCCCCCAACATTTCCCTTACCCCCAGTCCCGTCCCCTCCCTAGGCCCCTCTCCCTCTCCTCTGAGCCCCCTCCCATCTCCAAGCCCTTCCGCTCTCTGAGCCCCCTTTTAAGGCCTCCCTCTCTGAAGGGAGCCCTGGGGGAGCAATGGTTAAACTCGACAGCTAACTGAAAGTTCCCCACCCACCAATCCGCTCCACAGGAGAAAGACCTGGTGATCTGCTCCCGTAGAGACTGCAGCCTAGAAAACCCTATGGGGCAGCTCTACTCTGTCACATGGGGTCGCTATGAGACAGCACCTGACAACTTCTCTTGGCCCCCTTCTCCTTTATAAGCCCCCGTCTCTTGAAGTCCTCTCCTTTTGAGGTACCCCCTCCATCTCTGAGGGCCACCGCCTTTCCAAGACCCCCTCTGTCTCAGTACCCCCCAGTACCTCTTTCCCCTCCTCTGCCTGGGAGCCCCCTGCTTTTCTCCACCTGAGCCCCTCCTCGCTTCGACAGACACCGGAAAGCGCCTGCAGCCCTGGCTGGTGGGCCTCATCGCGGTGGTGGGTTTCCTGTTCATCGTCTTTGTTTACTTGCTGGCCAACCGCATCTGGTGCTCCAAAGCCAGGTGCGAGCCCCTCCCCACCTGCAGCGCCCCCCGCCGACCCTCTCTTTGCCATGGGTCCTGATGTCCAGCAGTCTCCCCATTCCGTGTTCTTCCTGGGACCCTCACCCCACAGCCCAGGCCCTGGGCCTGCACCTGACCCATCCCCTCCTACTTCCTGGAGCTCACGAGGCTCCAGCGGGGGAGACCGACTGAGGCTGAGGTTATTCCACCACCGCCCTTCACTGCCTCCCTCCACCCCCTCTCCATCTCTGCAGAGACAAGGATGAGGAGGAGGCCGAGTTCAGAGAGCAGCCCAACGTGTGCCCGGACATGGACCTGAGGTACTGCCTTGTGAGGGTGTGTAGATGTCACGTGCAGGGGTTTCTGTGAGCCCCTACCTTGGAGGGGGCACAGGTGTGCATGGATGATGACCTCTTACTGTTCTTGAACTCCTCAAGCACATTCTGCCTCAGGGCCTTTGCACTTGCTATTCTCTCTGCTTGGAACACTTTTCCCTGTATCTTTTTCTGGCCGGCTCCTTCTTTTTCAGTGCCTGCTCAGATGTTTCCCCCTCACAGAGGTCCACTCTGACCACTAGCCTTCCAGACACCCTCTGTTCCATAACCCTGCCTCTGTTTCTTTTTTGCACTTACCACCAGCTGAAATTATGAGTCATTTACCAGTTTCTTGACCATCTCTCCCTCTAGACCGTGGCCTCCAGTAGGTCCCGGCTATGTCCTTGGTGCCCAGCACACAGGGCACACAGTAGGCGCTTAATAAATACTTGTTGAATGAGACTGTGATGTGGGACTGTGTAGGTGTCTGTGTACATGCATATGACTTGGTGTGGGGACTCTCCTAGAGACAAGTCCTCTAAGGTCTTGACTGCTTCCAGACATGATGGTTCTGCTGAGGGGGCTTGGGGAGGTGGTCAGGGGTGGGGGCTCTGCTGGGACAAGATCTCAACAGCAGTGGAGAGTGGGAATGGTGGAAAGATCAGTCTGACTGGAAGAGTCTCACTGAGACCAAGATGTGCCTGGGGAGAGATGAGGACACATCTGTTTGCTTTGTCTAAGACCCAGCTCAGCCCCAGTAAAATGTGATTCCTGCTCCCAGGATGTGCTGCACGATCTACATCCCACATATACTCCTGCATGCATAGTTTCCTTTTTGCCTTGTCCATTCCTCCATCCACCCCTCCATCTTTCAATTCATCCATCCATCCCTCCATCCATCATCTATCCCTGTCCATCCATCCATCATTCCTCCATCCATCCACCTACTCATCATCCATCCCTCCCTCCCTCCCTCCATCCATCCATTCATCATCCACCCCTCCATTTTTCAATTCATCCATCCATCCCTCCATCCATCGTCCATCCCTCTGTCCATCCATCCACCTACCCATCATTCCTCCATCCATCCACCTACCCATCATTCCTCCCTCCTTTCCTCCATCCATTCATCATCCATCACTCCATCCATCATCCATCCCTCCATCCATCATCCATCCCTCTATCCATCCATCCACCATTCATCTACCCATCCATCCTCTATCCCTCCTTCCATCCATCAGCCATCCTTCTACCTACACAACCATCTAAACATATGCCTAGTCAGTGGTCATCCTCTAACCATCCATCTACCCATTAACACATTGATCTGCCCATCCATCCGCCCATCTACACACTGCCATCTATCCATCCATTCATCCCTTCACGTACCTACCCATCCACACCCATCATTCTCTCATTCCTTCATCTCATTCACTTATCTTCCCATTCATCCCTGCATGCAACCATCCATTCACCTAAATACTTATCTCCCCATCCACCTATCCATCTACACATCCATCCATCCATCCATCCATCCATCCATCATCCATCCATCCATCCATCCATCCA